ATCTGTACGAGTTTTTTCATGAGGTTGATGGATTTCCATTCCATACGGCTAAATGCAGTGCCTTGCATAATGAATAATAATAAATAATAAATTTGTTAGTCTCTAAGGTGCCACAAGTACTCCTGTTCTTCTTTTGCGGATACAGACTAACACGGCTGTTACTCTGAAACTAAGCATGGTTGTAGACAGTGCTATGTTGTTGAGAGAGCTCCTGCTGACATAGCTACTGTCTCTCACAGAAGCAGGAGTTATTAAGCCAACAGCAGAGGTCTCTCCCGTTGGCTTAGGGCATCTTCACCAGAAGTGCTACAGCTGCGCAGCTGTAAATGATGTAGTGCAGACATAGTTTGAGTGTCACAGCTAAATCCAAGGTGGAACAGATTGTTTAGCATGTGTAGTTAACACACATTTCACAGGACCATTCAAGGTGAAGTGGCTTTTACCTTGTGTTAGTTACCATGTATTCACTAACCTGGTAGGCTAGTGAAGAGACGAAGCCTAACTGAAAAGCTTGGTTTAACTGACTTGTTCAGTGTCATATAAGAAATCTGTTGCAGAGCCAGGAATAGAATAGAGCTTTTCTGGGTAGCACTCACCTGCCTTCACCAAAAGAGCAGCCTTTCTCTTCCTGTAATTCCCTGCCTCATTCTCTATGGACCTTTCAACTTCTAGATCAGATGAAATCGTACAGACGTGTGCACGATCTCCTGGTAACCCTAGATCCCCTTTATCCTCTATCTTAAAAAATTATAAGTAATTAAAAATAATTGGACCAATAAATAGTCTCAAGCAGTAACACATGGAACTCTTTGCTTTGCTTTTTGATCCCAGATTAGATTTTACAATAAGGATGAAGTGGCGTATTAAGAATGGCCATAGTGGTCCATCTAGCCCAGTATTTTGTTGTCTGTCAGTGACTGATGCCAGATGCTTCAGAGGGAATGAATAGAACAAGGCAGTTATTGAGTGATCCAGCCCATTGCTCCGTCCCAGCTTCTGGCAGTCAGTGGTTTAGGGACACCTAAAGTAAAAGCTTGTTGAAGTCTTATCCAACATTAAACATGGTGGTGGTAGGAGGCTAGCTAGGTCATCTGTACTGCACCACTATTGGTATTGATAGTATTCTTCCTTTAATTTTGTATAGCAATTGCAATAGTAGTTAATCAACATATCTTTCACTGTTTTGGAGATGGCTGTGACAGCATGCTTCTTATCTACCAAGTGTACACAAGTGACATGTATGGAAGGCTGCACAGAGAGAATGACATTTCTTTTACTGTGTACAGACTGTGCTTGCCAGTCCCCACATGCTGAGTCAGATAGAAATTCTGTCATGTCCCTGGAATGTTGAAGTCCGTGAAAACTGAGTTCATTGATGCAAAAAAGCTTTCAGCATTTGCAGACAAGCTTTCCCAAAAGATCATTTTTCACAAGTCTTGAATCCTAATCAAAATATCTAATCATGATGTAGACCTTCTTTTCATTGCTGACATCATTACTTTCATCCATCATAACAGTGA